TCATAAAACGATAAATAGTTTGTCAAATTTTTATTCATAAAAATGCAGTTTCAACTGCTTTTTATTTTATAAAATCCGTATTCTTGAACTGCCAGAGGACCTTTTAAACAATAGCTAGTCTGTTAGCGCTGGTCAGTAGTAGTCCAAATTCAATAAAACATTTGTTTCCTGAAAATTTGATCACAATTTAAATACAGTATTTATTTTTAATATTACTGATATGTCATCGAAAAGAAAACGTGTTGTATTATCATTAAAAGACAAATTAAAGTATTTGTTTCTATTATCCGGATTTTTCCTTATCTGGACTACCTTCATCCCCAATTAGTCCGGATAATCGAGGTTCTACTGTATATAGATTTCTGATTTAGAATCAGGTAATGTTTTTATGTACTTAGAGTGCATGCAAAAAGTAAAACATAGTAAATGATAACTAACTTCCTACTGTACTATTGTCTATTTTTATGTCCTACCCATCTTTGCATAAGATGTAAACAATATCTGCTGGTGTGCAAACTCCTTTGCATTTGACTTCTGAATGTTTTCTAAAACATTTATTCATAAGACAGTTTTAAACAGTTAATACATTAATAATAAACAGCAAAAATATGATAAAATAAAATTTAAATTTATTATCTCAAAAGTTAAGGTTTGCTTAAGTAAAAATTTGCAAACAAGCCAAAGGAGAAAATCAAGAAAAGGATAGATTCACTTGGACACATGTAGATTTCTCTACATTGTCTACATGTGGACATATAAACTGAAGAATTTGGAAGTAGCAGTAATAAAGTAAAATCTGTTTACAAGGAAAAACTTTAGAATGGAACAATTTTCTATGTTAATTTTTAATACAAGCTACTATTTAATTATATTTTAAAATAATAATTATAATTGATATAACTATCCCCTGTATAACATGGTAGTTAGGTTCTGAAAAAGTCCAGTGTTATGCGAATCCATGCGATACAAAACATAGCATTAAAAGTTCCAAAAATTAGCAAAAGTGTATTATTCTTTTTCATAATTAAGAGAAACATGTTTATTAAGAAATCAATAATTAACTTATGACAATCAGAGTATTGCATGTTGATATAAATGTTTTCTTCACTGCTAAACACCATTAAATGAGGATGTTTTCTATTCAGCAAAATATTGTCATCTGAACTTTCCTGTTGACCTTAATACCAGTATGAAATGTCGGTAACATCTTGATTTTTCTATACTTTTTCATAAAATGTGATATTTTAATTTGTTTGCACTTGCCTAAGAGATCTTTAAAAATTTAGTTTTTTTGTAGTAATTTTTAATTTAATCTATAAAAACGAAACAACAGTCTTCTGGGTTCATTTAGAGCATTATCACCAAAGATAGCAACACTTGGTTTATAGGAAGGCTAGGACAAGGAAAAAGAATAACTGTACAATCGGTTCTCACAAGCAAACTAGGCAAAAGGCACAAAACAACATTGGCAATTTAAATATTCTAAAATCCATGGGTAAATATGAGACAACATGCATGCTTGCTTAAATAAAAAAGCTATTAAATGACAGTGTTTTGCACTTAAAAACTGTAACGCTTTGTATGGGAATGCCTCCAATTTTTGAATTGTGTTAGAGTGAAATTGTGTTGTATGAGGGATACCTGTACTATTATTTTTTATCATCATATATTTAAATTATTAAAGTAAAACACATTCTTATGAATTAATTTATACACCTCTATGTCCTTATTTTCTATTTGTTATATATTTTGTCTACGAGGACTTAGCCTATTAATAGGATGCACTGGTATTTTGGCTTTAGCAATCGAGGAAAATATTTTATTCAGGAAAAACAAACAATCTTTATTAATTTTTCTATTTCCTGCAATATGTCCTATTAATAGGCTAAGTCCTCCTAGACAAAATATATAACAAATAGAAAATAAGGACATAGAGACATATAAATTAATTGTAATAATTTTTAACAATATGTAGCCAAAATTCCGGTGGATTGGAAGATGCAAAAGACAGAAAATTGAAGAGGAAATAGAAAAATTAATAAAGATTGTTTGTTTTCCCTGAATAAAATATTTTCCTTGATTGCTAAAGCCAAAACACCAGTGCAATACATCCTATTAATAGGCTAAGTCCTTGTAGACAAAATATATAACATTCTTATGAAGTTTGATTTATATTAAACATTATGAGTAATTCTTATCTGAGTTTTTATTTCATCTTACAGGGGATCCTCATTTAATGTGGCTAACTAGGACCAAAAAGTTACCCCTTTAAGTGAATCTATGTACAGCAGTGATCATAAATTCATAGAAAATCATATGAAAAATGTTTAATTGGGACTTCAGTAAAGAAAAACTAAATGAAAAGTATGAAAGAAATCTTTATTATCCCTATTTACACATGTAAAATATTTATTATTAACATACTTGAATATCAGAAATTATTTATAACTGAATTTTAGAAGGGCCTAGTTGTGTTTCACCATTTTCACTGACTGCTGAGTTTTGATATACAAAAAATGAATCTAAAGTTAGCTGTTTTCTGCAAATTTATTTTTTCATTTAATATTGTTTTATAACAAAATAAGTTTTTCATCCTGTGCTCAAATTTTTCTGCTCATTCATAAACTGGGTCATTTTTAAGAAAATAATTGATGATTTTGTCACACTTCACAAATGTGTCATATAAACCATCAATGGACAGCCTGTTTTCATTGGTAATTTTATCTGTCCTCATCACAGTCTTTGATTTCTTCAATTGCATGCTTATAATATATAATATACTCTGCTATTATATTATATTCTAGATCGTATGAAGCATGTTTTAGGAACTCCACCTTTTAGGAACTTTATCATCAGTTTTGCTATGCTTCATTGACATAATTTTGATAAGAAAATCAGAAAATGAAACAAAAATACCAGCCAGAATCAAAATGACAAATACATGTGCAATAATTCATCTTGTGTACAGTGATATGTATCTATGCACACTAGTTCACATGATGCAAGAGGAAATTACAAGGTTTTCCCAGCAGATGGTAAGTGTGGGGTATTTTTAAATGGTGTTTCACAATTTTTTAATCATGTAACTATGGGAACTTGGATAATGAATACTCATTAAATGAGGACCCCCTGTATTTGTAAATTATTCATATGCAATCAGTATAGAAAAGAATTGGCATATAGAGGCTCTAGCAGCAAATATGATTGCAAGAGAATAGGAAATAATTTTTGATAAAACTAATTATGTTTTAGTTCCAAAATAATTGAATAATTAAATTATATCTTTAATAAAATAATGCATTATATTTTATGGGATAACAAAGTAAATTTTTACAATGTGCAATAGTAATAATTACAAATAAATGTAATGTTGACTTACAGAATATCATAACTATTATTTGTCATTTAATAAACTTAATTATTGTACATATATTATTAACATAATATATGTACAATATTAAATACATTTAATGATATCTAAAACTATTAACAAAATCTAAATACTATATTATAAACTAATTAATTCAAAATAAATTACTGTTTTGGATTTCCATGAATAATATTAATACTAAAAAGAAATAATTACCAAACTGATTAGAATTAACTACACCTAGATTCCACAATCATTAGATTTTTAAAATAAATTATAAAGCCTAGTAAAATCATAATAATGTCCTTTAAATAATCAAAAAACTATTATGATGAATATTAATTATTATTTACCGTGATTATATTTTCTCGTACTACTACTGGTTTCTTAATTAATTTCTTTCTTCTGCTCCTTCGTAAACCTTTCTGCCAGCTCTTCTTTTTGGTTTTCTTTGTCGCAACATTTGAGGGTTCAACAGATACTAATGCCTGTAATACTGGAGGAGAAGAATCAACATCATCGGGAGAAGGTGGGTTATCTAATAGAGCAGTGTCATTATCCATTGTGGCTATTGGAAGTAAAACAGGTGGGGTAGATCCTCCTTCTATGTCTCCCAATGAAGTAATTGTTTCTGATGATTCTTGTATATTATCCTTGTTTATAGTTACAACCTCTGTTTCAATTTTCTCTTTTTTAGTTTTCTTTCTTGTAGCTTTCTTAATTTTTCTTTTTACTTTTGCAACAGGTTTAGTACATTTATCAGACTTTTCATCTAGATTTGTTGCAACATTGTTCTCCGTCATATTTATAACTTCAGACAAATTATTTGCATCTTCTATAGTTTCCACTTCAGATGCTGGTTTTTCTGAAATTAGAACAATCTTTTAAGTCTAATCATGCATCTTTTTACTAAAATAACATTAAATAAATAGTAAATACCCAAAGTTATCTTAGTTTTTTCAAAATTAAAATTTATCACATATTCATAATCATTTTCTAAAAGTGTTTATTAATTTTTATTGTAACCATAATTTTTATGTTTATCATTTAATGTAAATAATACTTCAGAAAAATAGAAAAAAATTAAATAAATATAAGCTTAAATGTCAAAATATTTCTAGTTTTTTTAAATAAATATGTATTTTTATAAGAAAATATACATCAGAAAAACAAAATTAATTTTATTTTTGTATGAAAATATTTTAATTCTTTGTCTAGTTAAAACAAACATTAGTTTTAAACTGAATTACATAGAGTTTAATTTAGAAGAATATATATAACCATTTCAGTTATATGAATTTATGATCATTAAAAATTAAAAATGACTCTTCCTGAATTTTTGCAATTTTGTGATGTATTTAATCATTACTATATTAAAATTTAAACAGCGTGTAAGAAAATTTAAACTTCAATATGTAAATAAAAGCTATTGTGTAAGCTTTCTGTGATATATTAATTCACACCTGTGATACTTACATGTGAATTAAACAATCACATTGGAATTTAATAAGCTAAACATTTTGAAAAAAATTATTGATTAATGTAGCTCTATCTCTATGTATCTTGTAATTTTACAATATACTGCATTTTGTTATGTTTATAACAAAAATTTAAAAATTTATTTTTGTTATAAACATTATTTTGAAAAAAAATTTTTGATTGCAATTATGTAATTAACATCATATTACAATAGAATTAATTCTACATAATATTAATTTTTTCATTCATGCCGCTAATTACTCTAAATGTTACTCAAGTTTATAATAAATATAAAGAGAAAACATTTTTTAAATTATGGAAATGATTACAATTACAACACATGGAATGGCAAATAAATTAAAAAAATTAAAAATTGACAAATTAAAAAAACATAATAAACATTTGTAAATATTGAAATATAATGCAAGTCAATTTAAGTGATTATCAAAGTTAGCCTTCACATTATCAGTGAAAAAAATTACTTTGACAAAATCAGAAAATTTAATATGGTAATTAAATATATTCTAAGACAAAGTTTAGTAAAAGTTGTGTTTTATAAGAATTGTAAGCTGTTTCTAAGTACCTAAATTATATCTCAATGTAAATGAGATGTTTGAATAAAGAAGAAAACAAATTAAGAACTTATCTCTAAATAATTTCCATCATTTAATCAGAAAAAAATATATAGAAATTTTAATAAATAATGAAGAATAATAAAAATCAGATAATAAAACAGAAATAATTAAGTATATCCAGAAACATTAATTTATTCAGTTAGCCTTTTAAATCTATTTGGGATGTCTGATTAATATTTGTTTATCTCTTATACATGTAGGGTATTAAATTATAGAATTTTATTGACATTTTAGATACATAAGAAAATTAAATCTATTACATGATTCAATTAGACTCATTTGTTTTCTTACAATGTGAATACTTTTTTAGACTTTTGGAATATCTTGTAAAATAATCCAAATATATTCTATATATAAATAAAATTTATTTAGCAACATAAACAATTTTTAAACTGTGTATTTTTATAATAAATAATAGAACAAGATTTTAGTTAAAACTTTTTTCCTTCTGTTTATGAGAAAATCATAGTTCAAGAAATCTTTTACTATAATATTTAAAAGTATAAAGTACTTTAAAAATATATTAATGTAACTACTCAATTTGTATAAGGCTTTATTACAAAATTCATTTTTTTATTTTGTATTTAATCAAATTATTAATATTAAAGCAAGAAAATCAGATGAAATGCATAGTTTTTGGTTTACTCAAGTATCAAAGTTGACTGTATCAAAACTTTGAATATAAAGTTTTTTTATTTTAGTAAGATTAACATGTTTTATATGTTATTTTTATAGCGAGAAATATTTAAAATTTATTCAAGATTTTTTTAATTGTATAATTATTTTTGGTAAAAATAAAATAAACTATTTAATTAATACCTATGATCATTTATGACAACAAATTTTTAAAGAATTAAATTTGAATTTATGTAATTAGAAAAATATCAATCAATAGTTTGTAGTGTTATTTAAAAATATCTAGTAATATAAATAAAAAATACAATAAACACTTAAACTGATTGATTTATTATAAATACTGCCATAAAACTGATTTTTTTATTATCCTCAACTATTATTTTTATTATAATGTTATTTATTTACTACTTAAATATGCTTTAGAAAATCATTCTATATATAATAATTTCTATTTTCAGATTACTTAACTATGAATTTAATGAATTTTATTCAAACAACAGAAAATTTAGCAAGCAAACTGAAGATGTAATCACGAACAAGAAAAATTCATTTCAAATAAAATAGAAACCATGTAAAATTAACTGAATCGCAAGAAAATAAAAAATTACAGATAGTTACAATTAACTTTGATTTCGATTAATGACATTGCTTAATTAATTACATTATTCAATTTGTGGCTAATGGATTGACAACCTAAGTACAGTTTTTAGTGTTGACTGTATTTTACAAATCACAAATTTTAGTAAATAATTAATAATATTATTCAATTTTTTTTCTTACCATCATTTTCCTTTACTTGTTTTTTGTCTAGAGTTTTCACTTTCATTCTCTTTGTACTAATCTTATTCTTAATATTATTTTTTGGCTTGTTTTCCTCTTGAACTGCAGATGCATCAGAAATTCCAATACTGTTCTGTCTCTTTCTTTTATCATTTACGATATCTTCCTGAGCCAATTCTGTTTTACTACATTTACTGCCTGCAAATCTTTCTTTGTGTTTTCTTTTACGTTTCAAGTAATTTTCAGTGCATTTCTGTGATTTTACATCATACTGATCTGAAGCTTCCAAGTTAACGCTTGATGAAATGGTTAGGCGACTATCCTCTTTTAATTCTGCTGGAGATTCTTGTTGCTTAGGATCTTTGTTTTCAGATAACATTTGATTAATGATGACTTCATCTGCTTTTTCTTCCATCTACATAAAAAAAAAAACATAGTTTATCTTTTATCTAATTAACAATTTTTAACTTTGTAATTAAAATTAATTCATACGCTCTGTAAATATAAACAACATTACTAAACCCAATACATTGCAATAACACACCATCAACTGCCTAAATCATCGGGCTAAAATTTGACGAAAATAATAAATTACAAATAAATTTGGACCTAGAGGGAGGCATTAGGTGTCATCTCATATTAAATTTAATAATTATAATTTAATTAAATAATTTTAGACTAAACTGGAAGAAAAGAATTGGCCTGGAGCAGGACGCAAACCTACAACTTGCCACTTACCATGTGGATATGTTGCCAGTTATGCTACCCGGACCTCTGGTCTGATCTCCTCTTTCAGCATATTTAACATTAAGATATAGTAACTGACAATGGTTATATCTTAATGTTAAATATGCTGGAAGAGGAGATCCTGACCAAAGGTTGTGGTAGTGTAACTGGCAATGCATCCATATGGTAAGTGGCAAGTTACAGGTTTGAGTCCTGCTCCAGGCCAATTCTTTTCTTCCAGTTTAGTCTAAAATTATTTAATTAAACTATAATTATTAAATTTAATATGTGATGGCACCTAATGCCTCCCTCTAAGGCCAAATTTACTTGTAATTTATTATATCCTGATGATTTATGGCAGTTGATGGTGTGTTATTGCTCTCTAAATACAAAAATGATCATAAAATATGTTATTTCTAATATAAATATATAAAAAAAAAATTTCAACTTACAGCTGATGCATTTTGTGCTTTTTCATTGAAATTTGGAGTCCAAGAAAGATAGGATGAATCCAAAAAAATGCGCTTTGTATGACTCATAGACATTTTTAACATTTGTTGTTTCAATAACATTTTATTAACACATACCGTAAATCTGAAAAAAAAAAATTTAACAAATTAAAAAATATTTAAATTTATATAATAGTAATGCAAATAACAATAATTTCTCCAATTAATTTGTTTCTTCTTTTAGTTTAAAATTACTCTAAATTAACTAGATTTTATTCTTATTAAACTGTAGCCTTTGCTTTGACAGAAAAATTTATCAAAATATAAACATTTTTGGCTATTCAGACATCCTTTTAGAAATATTCTTTTAAAATATAGATAACATATTCAAGGAATAACTTAAATATAGCGTGAATAAAATTTAAATAATATATAATAAAACATAAAAATGGAAAAAATTGCTCATTAAAATAATAATATATTAAAATTACAATGATAACTGAGAGAAGAATGAAAAATACAAACAAAAATTTTTATAAAACTTTATAAAAATTAGGTTAATTGTAGTTAATAATGGTTTCAATTTATAGTGAAAGTGTAAAAAAAATATTATAAAATCATCATTTAAAAAAATTTTAAATTTCTGTGCATAATATTCAATCAAAATAATAAATTTCATTATTATTTTGATAGAATCATATTTAAAACCTCTTTTGGAAATAAATGGAAATTCTAAAGTTTATAGACTTGTTTACAAGAATATATTAGTGAATCAATTTATAAGAAATAAAACTAAACTTCTTACAGTCTTACATTTTATATTGATCTAATATATAATTTATGATGAAGTAAAACATATAAAATAATAAGTATTTCCTTGAGTAAGTAAACACAGTAGCCAATAAATTATGCCATACTTCTTAACTTTTTGCTTTATAACTTTGAAGAAATAATTAATACTTTGTTTTAAATTAATATCTTAAATATTATTTTTATGATATACTTTATTTATAGTGTATAAAATGAAATTAATATTTTATATTATTCTTAAAACCAATAAAAGAAGGTAAATCATGTAAATTTTGCATTACACTTAAGTAATGTAATTATGTATATTAAAAAAATTATTTACATTAACTATCAATTTTAGTGTTTAACAAAGAAATAGTCATTATTATTATTATTAGCTACTTAAATTTTTAAGTTTTTGGAATATATATCATTGCATTTAACATCAAATTTGATTTTTTCCTGTCTATTCTAAATCTTTTCAAAAGCATAATTAATTAAATTATACATTTATGTATAGCATAATTTGTATTTTCATGAAGACTTATCAAATTTAACAAATTAAAAATTACTGATTTGCTTTGAATTTTTGATGAAATTATCAAAATTTTTAAATTTTATTTGATTGACTACTTACAATAATTTAATCTTTAAATGCTCATCTCTTCTTGCAGAACTTTTAGAAAATTCATATTTCATACTTAAAATTAAAAAATCTGATGAATATAAATTCTGAATCAATACCTCTCTATTCTCTACATTTTTTAATCATTAGTTTTGTAATTTTTAAAGAGAATAACAGTTCTCCCATAAATATTTGTCAATAATATACATATATAAATAGGCACACACTTACAGACAAAACAAAAATTATTGAAAATTATAGATTTTAGATAGTAAAAATAAGATTATGTGAAAAAGTCTACTAAAACTACATCGTATAAAAAAATCTCATTATGTATGTTTAGTCTTCTCATTAAGACAGTTCAGCAAATTGCTATTGTTACTTTTGTTACTCATTTGATAGGATTTGCTAAAAACATAACAACTATCAGTGTTAAAACTGGAATATATCCAGTCTGTTCTATTATTACTTTGGCAAGATTCCATTTTATTTTAACTTTCTTTTCAACGTTTTTTCTAATAATATAGTTTTTCATATAATTTGTGTGACATTCGAGTTCTATTCATACTTTCTATGTATAGGTTTTTCAGTACATTGAACGTAGGTATAAGTTCCAACTTTTGGAAAGTGCGATTTAGGTTTTTCAGTTTTCTATTTCTTTAATACTGTATATTCTTTTATTTCTTAGTAGCTTTTAATGTTATGTAAAAATTATTTTCATTTTTATTATTTTATTTATCATTATCATTAACAACAACAAAGATTACATCAAGGGTTTCCAATCTTTTTCATGTATTGACTCCTTTTCAAAATTTCCTTTTCATCAACCCCTTCAATATATATATTGAATGAGATTCATGGGAAAATATGTTCTTAACATTTGTATAACCTTCTTTCCAAAGAATAATTTTTGGGTGCTAACCTGACTGAAACAAACCTTAATTTGCCCTTCATTCATTTATTGTGCAAAAAATTTTGAAACAAAATTAAAAATCAGAAAACAAATTATAAAACAGTTTAAAATTGAATTATTGTATTGTATTGTGTGTAATTTTAAATAAGATGTAAGATTGTAACTTATTTGATATTTATATTTAAATAAAAATACAATTAAACAATATTGAAATATATATGCATATACATATTAGCTAATTTAATCATCGACCCTTTCAAATTTTCATTGACCTTTAAAGGATCAATATGACCTTGTTGGAAACTCCTAGATTAGACCATTTGCTGATCCTATCACCACATGTTCACAAATGTTGATCCTATCACCACATTTTAGAGTGTCCTATAATGTCTTTTTCCAATTGGCTTATATTGTATTATATTAGGGAATTCCAATAAAGGATTTATTATTTCTTACTTTTGAAGGAAATCCTAAATTCATATGACTGTTTTTCAACTTGCACTTTAATTTATCTAACAATAAACTACAATTTGATCATTTAATTTTATTTCTAATTCTATATAGATCATAAGATTGTTTTCATTTTTATATTTAAATACAGTAAGTTCTACATATTGCAATGATGGATAATGTAATCAAAATGTTGGATAATAATATCAAAATTAGCAGGTCCCAAAACATACAAGTTATAATAAATTATAAAACTTTGCTTATTGTCATCAGAATCTGATTATTCTTATCATTGTTTGGGCCAACAGACATTTTTATATTTTATTTTTGTGCTAGTAGCCTCAACATATAGTTAATAACTTGAAATCATTATAAGTTATTAATATTAATTTTAACCAAAGCTTTAAATTAATTAATTTAATTGTTATTTGCTCACAATACAACAGTTTAAATTACAGGCATTATGCTAGCTATTATTGAAGATGGTAGCAGTCAGACAATATTGGATGAATTATTAATTAATCATAATAATTATAATTAATAAGCCTTCAAGTTATATATTCTTAAACTGCTTTAACATGCCCTTTTAATATTAAAGTCAATAAAATCAGTCTTATTTACTTAAACTGATAACATTATGTGAAGTAAGTAAATCACAAAATGATTACTATTATTGGAGTCCACTGTATTTAATTTTCATAATAAATATTTACAATTTGAATTTAAAACATTTTTATTATTTATGTTCAATACTTTTCTGAAAATAACTTACATAAAGCAAACTGAAAGTTCTAGAATAAAAAATTCAAAACAAAAATATTTATTTAACTATTATATGCAAGTAATATTGCTATTTGAGGTTAGTGATTGTTATTAATTTTGAAAATATTCAAAATTAATAACAATCAAAAACAAGAATCTGGAAGGATTCTCTTTTAATACAAAAATGATAAACCATAAAAGTTTTCAATTTAATGGTTTAATATAAATTATACATTTTTTTACAATGACATTTAAATTATATGCAATGATTTTAAATTTTAATTCTTCAATATTTTTTCTTCTTTATAATTATACTAATTAAACAGAATTAGTATAATTATTTCATATAATTATACTAATTCTTTTTGATATGCATATTTGCATAACTCTCTCGCCCAATAAGCCAATGATATGCTTGACATTTCACATATTAAATGAATAATTTCTACAGTGTAAATGAATATATTTTCCATTCAGTAACTACTTTAAACATTTATACTGTTTAAGTAGTTTTCAATTTGTATAATTTTTTATATGAGATTATGGGTTTATTTTTCTTATAAATGCCATATAATATTAAATGTAACTATAGTCTAATTTTTTCTAAATTATAATTATATCATAATCTAAAATAAAGTGAATAAATTTACTTTTACTGGTCCTGATTAGTGACTTACTGTGCAAAATTTATTAATTATGTATTTAAAAATATTTATATCTTTATAATTCCTACTTATTGTTTCTTTTCAATTTATAATTAATTATATTTATTTCTTTACTTCATGTAAGTAAAAATTAAGACATTTTATTTGAATTACAACCAAACATATCAGTGAAGACAATGCTGCATATTTAGAAGAGTATGACACTGTGTTTAAATGATGCTAATATTTTCTTGTATGGTAACTATATCATCATTTTTCACTCTGTTCTCTCTCATAGTATAAGTTGTAGAAGTAATGAAGAATTCTAAGAATATAACAAGAAAAATAAAGATTGATTTAGTATTTTAATAATTTTCCTTATTTCTAATCAGAAAAAAATATTATGTATTCATATCAGAATGTTTGGAACCAAGATAAAGTGTAAAATGTAGTTGCAGCTCTGATTACAATTAAACTTGGTATGTAATAATTATAAATTGTTTTTATTCTAAATCATAAAATAATAAAAATTTTGCANACTCTTCCTGAATTTTTGCAATTTTGTGATGTATTTAATCATTACTATATTAAAATTTAAACAGCGTGTAAGAAAATTTAAACTTCAATATGTAAATAAAAGCTATTGTGTAAGCTTTCTGTGATATATTAATTCACACCTGTGATACTTACATGTGAATTAAACAATCACATTGGAATTTAATAAGCTAAACATTTTGAAAAAAATTATTGATTAATGTAGCTCTATCTCTATGTATCTTGTAATTTTACAATATACTGCATTTTGTTATGTTTATAACAAAAATTTAAAAATTTATTTTTGTTATAAACATTATTTTGAAAAAAAATTTTTGATTGCAATTATGTAATTAACATCATATTACAATAGAATTAATTCTACATAATATTAATTTTTTCATTCATGCCGCTAATTACTCTAAATG